AGTTCATCAATACCCCTACAGCGCATGTGTTTGGCCTGTGGGGGAAACTTGTGTTATCTTTGACTATTATTTAAATTAGTTTGATGATCTGATATGTCTGATACATTTTTGTTTATCTGTATAACATGATTACATTCTGCAGAGTAATGCACTCCACTGCATTGAATTATTATAAATGAATGCACACGCGAGGTGTGATGTTGATGTGTTGAGTGTCAGGCTTATCTAATATTCCTCATTTACTATAAACCCCCCCCAAACATGTATTACTTTAATTTGAGATGATGATCGGACAGAAATGAATCAATAAAACATGATGATTTAAATATAGCGCTTTGTTTTATATACACATGTGTTCATGAAACGGCTAAAACACACACTTTTATGCTATTCTGCTCATTCATCATAGTCCTAGTTAAATAGTACTGATGAGACACATGACCAGAACAATAAATAAACTCATCATGTCACTTTTGTTTAGTTTTTTTCACATAGAAGTTTTACAAACAATAAATTATAAACTCAGTGCGGTGTGTTCTCAGTCATACGGCCATCGGGAACGGGACATGAAGCAGACGAAGCGCTGCAGCTTTACAGACAACACTGAACACTTTACTTGCAGAGGCGTTCATAAGACTGTCATTAACCCTTTATAATCAAGACCTGACATGTTATGAATGTGAATGAGATCTTATGCATGTTTACATTGCATATCTGCTCAGGTATGTAGTTTTAAATGCAAAGATGACACTGTTTGTTATGACAACTTGACTTATTCAAATACAGCACAACCTGTTTTTGTCTTTGTTAGGACAACTTGACATTACCCAGACAACAAAACCTGTCATAAATCTGTCATAAACATAATAGTCACGAAGCCATTATAAATATGTCATAATTTTTATAACAGCATCATTAATATATATGCATTTTGACCTCAACTTCAGTGGTACAAGCTGAATTTGTCATTTAAATGTCATTAAATATTATTGACGCTCTTATATAATGATTTGAGAGTAATGACGCTTATAATGACGCATATTATTGACAAATGCAGTGAAAACACAGTGAATGACAGCTATAATGCCTTATGATGATCATGTTTATGACAGATCTATGACAAGTTTTGTTGTCTTGATAATGTCAAGTTATCATGACGAAGAGAAAAACTGTTGTCATAATGTCATAACTGAACAAATGACATTTAATGACAGTTGCTATAAACATGCATAGGATTTGTCACAGGTTGTCAACAAACACTGTCATCTTTGCTTTTAAAATGTCACAACTGAGCAAATGAGACCTAACGACAGCTGTTATAAACATGCATAAGATCTCAGTCCCATTCATGATGGCTTATGTCATGTTTATAAAGGTTAATGACAGTCTTATGAACGCCTCTTCAAGTAAAAGTCTCAAACACTGATTAAACAGGATATCGAAAGCAAAACAGTGCATGAGAAAGTGGAACTTGTCATGAAGCATTATGATATCATACATGAAGAGTTCATGTACATTTTAAAGAGACAGTACACCCTTATATGGAAATCCCCAAATTTGCGTCAGGAATGAATCCTTTTCATCAGTTCAGAATTGCAGCTTATGAAATGCAAAGATAGATGGAACTTTTAATGTTCATTTAAAGAGACGGCGCACCCAAATATTAATATTTCAACTTAGACTCATTCTAAATAACGTACCCCTGTATATATTTCTGGAGAGCGCCAAATACATCCCAGAAGCTACAATATTTTGCAGTTTTTGTGAATCCACCTGAGGGCGCTGTGTACACTGAGGCTGCCTGACTGACCAACTGACCTCCTTTCCTAAACCCAACCAATAGTGTTTTCAAAAGCAACCCAAAAAAGGAAAGCCGCCTGATTTTTACCACGTTTTCAGATTTGACCACATTCTCACCCTGTTATTTACTTGTGTATTTTATTTTATGGCTTCAGTTTTTTGTCTTTCCTGCTTTCTGGACCTTCTTCACAGAACTCAAACCCAATCGTCATGGTCAACTCCTCTCTGCGCCTCAAGACCACCGATGTACACGGCGAGCCACTGAACAAACTGGTAACACTGAGAGAAAGCCGTCCACACGCCGGTAAGTGGTCAGCTGGTAGTGAGAAAAGGGTATATATCGTTAGTTTTAAAGACGAAATACAGCCATACGCTCCTCTGGCTACTTAATACATGATCTTTAGAAATGTATATAGGGCTACATGTTCAGAATGAGCCTGTGTTCAAATGTTCGCTCAACATTTCCATGACTCAAATCTGAGTTTGTTTTGTTGAACAGTGAATATACTGACATACTGATTGATGTTGGAAAAAGCTTTGACTTTTTGTTCCTAGTATGGACGTCACTATCCACTTTAAAATATCTTGTATTGTGCTCAACAGAAGTTCAGTGAATACATGATGAGGAGAATGTTCATTTAAGGGTGTACTGTCCCTTTAAATGAAACACATTTACTGAATACTGCAGTTCTGCCATTATACATTTTAAAGAGACAGTACACCCAAAATATGGAAATCCCCAAATTTACGTCAGGAATGAATAATTTTCATCAGTTCAGAATTGCAGCTTATGAAATGCAAAGATAGATGTAACTTTTAATGTTCATTTAAAGAGACGACGCACCCAAATATGAATATTCTAACCCAGAGTCATTCTGAAAACGTACCCCTGTATACATTTCTGGAGGGCACCAAATACGTCCCAGGAGCTACATATATTTTGCAGTTTTTGTTTTCGTGAATTCACCAGAGGGCGCTGTGTACACTTTTACTGATCTCAAATTTCTCTCGCGAGTGCCATTTGAGCATGCTGTTCTCACGTAAATCCACCAGAGGCCGCTGTTGACTGACTGACCAACTGACCGATCCCTCCACCAACCTCCTTCTCAAACCCCAACCAATAAGCAACCCAAAAAAAAGAAAAGCCGCCTGATTTTTTATCAAGTTTTCAGATTTTACCACATTCTCACCCAGTTATTTACTCGCTTATTTAATTTTATTGCTTCTGTTCTTGTTTTTTACATGCTATCTGGAACCATTCTTCATCGGACTCGAAACCCAATCGTCATGGTCGACTCCTCTCTGCACCTCAAGACCACAAACGTAGGCAGCAAGCTACCGGACAAACTGGTAACAGCGGAAAAGCCGTCCACACGGAGGTTTTAAAGACGAAATGCAGCCATACATAGCTCTGGCTACATAATTCACAATCTCCAGATATGTATACAGGGCTACGTGTCCAGAATAAGCCTGTGTTGGAATGTTCTCATTCACTTGATCCAAACCTGAGTTTGTTTTGCTTGCCTTGCCTTGTCTTGAATAAACTGTTGAATTCAGTGAATAAACTGAATAATGTTGGAAAAACGTTTGTTTGTTTTGCTGTTCCTACTATGGACGCTGCTTCAACACATCTTGTATTGTGTTCAACAGAAGTTCACAACCAGCGTGAATACAATAATATTAAATGTTGATATTTGGGTGCACTGTCCCTTTAAATGAGACACGTTTACTGAAAGATGACATGGTTAAGCATATTTTTAATTATTGATTAAATGACTGATTTAATTGTATATTTCTTAATTCCTACATCTTTTATCTTGCAGTTCTGCCATTATCATGAAGAAACACTTCTGAGAGACGTCACGATAACCTTCTCAAGCGCCCTGAAAATCCATTACAAAAACAAGCTCCCGCAGTGTGACGCGTGAAGCATGAAGACAGGATTTTCTTCAGCTTCAGTTTTCAGTCTCGGAGAAATGTACAGGAGCTGCTCAGTTTGCAGACAGAAACACATGGAGCTCTACATTTGTCCAGTTTAGCTTCCACAGCATTCATCAGTCTCAGCTAAAGGGGTAGTTCACTCAAAAATGCACATTTCCTCTTCGTCTACACACACTTGCACACATTTCTTCTTGTTTTGAGACACATGTATGCACGCACACACATATGCATGCACAAACATACTTATGCATACACTGATACACACAGACAGACATGAACACACACACACACACAGGAGGATGTTGTAGATGTGTTGTTCACACAGACAGCGCTGCACAGAAGCACTTCTGACGGTCAGTTTCACACACAGTCAACAGTCAGTTCAGCTTTATCCCGTGTGCTGCTGCACTGACATGAATGTTTTGTGAAACTACTTTTTATTGTCAGTGTGACCTGAAGGGGCGTGTCATGTTAACCAGAGGAGTGGCTTTGTCAAAAGGGGCGTGGTTTAAAGTAGCCACACCTAAAGCTCCTCGTCTGATTGCGAACATGAGCAGAATCTACAGTGATTCTGCTTCACGGCATTTACACAATCTTTCTTTCCTTCTGTTGAACACAAAATAAGATACTGCGAAGAATGTTCAGCCGTTTACACTCAGAGCAACAGCAAAACATGACCATTTAAAATTGTAGGTGAAAAAGTGGCCACACTCGAATCTCTCATCCGACTGCGAACAGAATCCATAGTGACTGTGTTTCACGGCATTATCTTTGTTTCTATGTTTGAATGAACCAAAGAGGCGTGTCATATTGACCAGAGGTGTGGCCTTGTCAAAAAGGGGCGTAGCTTAAACCAACCACACCCAAATCACCTCATCCGACTATGAGCAGAGTCCATTTACACAATCTTTGTTTGTTTGAGTGAACCTAAGGGGCGTGTCATGTTGGCAAGAGGTGTGGCTTTGTCATAAAAGGGCGTGACTTAAAGTAGCTCCTCGTCTGACTGAAATGCGAGCAGAATCCACAGTGATTGTGTTTCACGGCACTTACATAACCAAAGGGGCGTGTCATATGGGCCAGGGGTGTGGCTTTGTCATAGGGGCGTGGCTTCAAGCAACCACACCCGAATCTCCTCATCCATCTGCGAATGGGAGCAATATCCACATTGATTGTGTTTCACGGCATTTTACACAAACCCTACTGTACTGCACGTCCGTGATGCTCCACACGTCGCTCTTTTCCCGGGAGAGTTCATCAGATCAACACTTTTTAATCAGGCAGTGTTTGAAGGCTGACGGCCGGGCGCTGAGCGGGCAGTTTTTAGACAGTTTCCCGTTAGCGTCTTTACACTGAACTGTGCGACTCTGCCAGCCCGTATCGCAAGTTCTGGAGCAGCTCATCCAGGGGCCCGTCAGCCAGCGCGGGAATTTCGGACTCTCCGTCGTTGGAGGAACGTCAGATGTAAACGTTACAAGTTCTGCTGACGATAAAGAAGCGACAGTGGGCGGAGCTTCAGGAGGCGTCCTAGGTGGAGCTTCAGGTGGTATTCTGGGCGGAGCTTCTGGGGATGTCCTGGGCAGAGCTTCAGGAGCCATCCTGGGTGGAGCTTCAAGTGACATCCTGGGCGGAGCTTCAAGTGACATTCTGGGCGGAGCTTCAAGCGACATTCTGGGCGGAGCTTCAGGGGAGGTCCTGGCTGGGAGTGGCGTTTTGCGAGGCATGAAAAAGCTGTAGCGTATATCCAGCGGTTTTTTAGCATCGGTGGATAAAATCTGCACTAACAGGCTCTCCTGGAGGGCGGCGGGGCCCATGCTGTGGAAAGCCTCGTCCCGCTGGCTCCAGCCGGTGTAGTTGAGGACAGAGCCGTTGAGCGGGATGATGGTTTCAGAGGTGGAGATCATCAGTTTGCCGTTCAGCAGATAATCTCCGCCGGGTCGCCGCAGCGCTAGGTATGCTGTGTAGCGCGACTGGCCTTTAGCTTTATACTGACGCACCTTCAGATGAGTCGAACCCTCGGGAATCTTCACCACGTCAGTGTAGCCCTTACTGGAGGACACAGAGATTAGAGGGATAAAGGTTATCAGGTTAAAAACTGCTCACAAAAATGCACAGCAGAAATGCTCTGGTCTTTATTCTAGTCTTAATATCTAAAGATTCCTAAATCAAAGAGCATTTTCATTTCATTTCATAGACAGAGTGATGGACAGAGGCCAGTGGGTGAATTTGGCCAGGATGCCGGGGTTAAACCCCTACTCTTTTTCAAAGGAAATCCTGGAATTTTTAACGACCACAGAGAGTTGGGACCTCGGTTTAACGCCTCATCCGAAAGACGACGCTCACTGAGCAGTATAGAGTCCCTGTCACTATACTGGGGCGTTGGGACCATAGAATATATGGACGTAGTGTCCGTGACGGCACCCATAGGTTTCTAAAGAGCGCAAAAGAAGCCACAAGTAGGCGCGGCCAACCGTCGCCATTTTGTTCGCGTGTAATCACACCCACGGCGGGATACCAAACAAGGGCAAAGAGGCGGAGAGTGGGCGGAGCTACAGACGCATGCTGCATTTAGCTTGGACCTGGTTCAGACACACTTTACTTTAGGAGAACGCTTAATACTTTATCACCTGCGACTCGTTTGTGTTCTGACCACTTGTGCTTGGTTGTACACTATATCAATAAAGTGTTTAGACTTTTAAACACACTGCTGTAACACATTGAGCCACTAAACATTGTTCTTATGACGTTTCTCTTATGACGAAATTACTTCCAAACACTTCAGATATAGTCTGTGTTAGTTAATGTAAGACTATTGATGAACTCCAGCTTAACCCTGTATGACAACGCTTCAGATGACTGTTCTAGAGCCTACAGCTAATCAATCTGACAGATTCTGGAGTGCATTACAGCTCTAAATATAAACGATAAATGATCTTAAATAAAACAAACACATGTATAGAGATGGTATATAAGTATATAACTTTATTCACATGGGAAACGGAGGCCACGTGAATGGTTTGTGAGCACAATTAAGTGCACTCAGCATGCCATGCCATCTAATAATTGTAGGAAACAAGTCCAAAAGGCAGTCGACTGTGTAAAGCCACATAAAACAACACAGAAATACGATAAATATGCCGAGTTCAGTGGCTAATCTGCAGGATTCAGCTGAGGTGATGTGACGGCGACCAACGAGACCTAGCTGTCACTCAAGTGGCCACGCCCTTAATTATGCAAACTTAATATAACTTAATATAAAGGAAACGGATGAGTTATTAAAATATTCACCCCCTCACAGTTGTCATGGAGGGTAATATTAGCTGTATTAGCCAAAATCTGTTTTTGTACCAGCCTGTAAACACCTTTTTATTCTGCTGTAAAGTTGGCCATTCTAACAGTGGGCTCAATTGAATTTTGCTCTGTTTTGGAGGCAGGAGCGGCAGGACTAGCCGAAATTCAGATGAATTGCAGTTTTAGTTACTTCCGTACTGGCTTCCTGAGGGAGAGCGGGAGGTTGCCGCTTGGTTGGGGCCCACACAGACCGCAGGTTGAGCGCCCCCTGCTGGCCTCACTAGCACCACTTCCATTAAAAATAAATTAAAAATAAATGTTAAAATAAATTTGTTTATATATATATTTTTTCCAATTTCAGTTTTAAGAAGAGAATAAAAAACATTTCTAAACATAATAGTTTGTTTTGTAGACAATTGACAACAAATATTGCTGAAGGGGGCTAATAATATTGACCTTAACATGGCTTTA